GGCCACTCCAACCAGCCAGGGGACACAAAGCTGTCTTTGGAGAGATTCCCAAGGGCAGCAGGGCATCCTACTCCATCCCTGCAGCCCTGCTAGTGCCATACCAGCCCCCCCCACATAACCCCGTACCTCCAGGCGGGTCAGGGCCATGCGGACGCCCCTCGCCCGTCTCCCGTCAGGGGTGGGCAGCACCTCCTGGGGGCTGCGCTGGAACTTCAGCCCCCATTCCCGGGCGGCTGCTGCCTGCGCTGCCGCTGTCTGCGCCTCCATCGTCTTCTCCCCAGGCTTCTCCAGGGCCGTTTTGATCATCAGCTCAGTCAGTCGCTTCCTGGGCCTGGGGGCATCTAGGAAGAAAGCGAAAGCTTCAGGACAGGAACCACAGCAAAAGCCCCTCAGGACACAGCATGGAGCTGAGTTCACGTCAAAGCAGTTTCAGTGGTACGTGAGTGTCCATTTAGAGTTTGCGATGCCAATGGGAGTCGGACACCATTGAGATGACAAACTGCACTCAAAGTGACCAGGAGAGCTCCTGAGGCTTGAGGCCAGTGGGACACACAAATCAAAGCCTGCAGTTTTGCTGTCTTGCTGGTGCTCAGAGGCAGCAGCCTGTGGAGAAGAGCAAGTCTCTGGACACCCCTGAACTCGGTGTTTTCTTTTCAGCGCTGCAGAAAGCTCTTAAATCAACGGCTTTGGGATTTCTCCTGCAAGGTTCCCCCATTCCTCCCAAACCTCCTGCCCTCATCACTCAGAGCATAAGCATCACTCCCAAGCAGCAAACCGGCTGCGCAAACAGAGAAACAGTCTGTTCCCTTGTCTTCACGGCCTCCTAGCACTCTGAGGACAAGCCACACCACGGTCACCCGGCTTTCACACACCATGCATTAAGGACAGGGCAAGAGTTTCTCTGAGGCACGTTCTGAGCATCTCGCCATCTCTCCTGGATGCTCGCCATCTCTCCTGGATGCTCGCCTGTTGAGGCGAGTCCCCATCCGGAGGAGCACGGCACACTTCCCTCACCTTTAACAGCATTTTCGAGGCCTGTGAAGTCAGCAGGGTTCAGGACAGGCCTGGCACCAGGAAGGTTTATCATCTCCCGCAGCTCCTGAGAATTACAGGCAGGAAGACGTTACCTCCAGCACAGGGAGGTCATCCAACAGCTCTAGCCCCCCTTCCCCAGCAGTCCGGCCTAGGAGCCAGCAAAGGGGTGCAGGAAGGAGGACGCACGGGTTCCCCACCCATCCCTAGACCACCTCTCCCCACCAGGGATGTGCAGCCTGGGGCTCAGCGCTGGGAAACACAGCTGCCCTCCAGCACCCCCAGCCTTACCTTGATTGTGAAAGCAACTTGGAGAGGTCCCCTCCTCCCAACCAGCCAGACGCGCTTCACCTTGCTGCAAGCAAGAGCTGCCAGGGAGCCGTCAGTGATGTCTGTCTTCTGCAAGACAGAGACAGGAGAGTGGGATGAGGGCAGATCTGGAGGGAGCTGGGGGGGAGGCACAGCCTCTGAAGGTGAAAAATCAGCAGAAAAGCAGGCTGTGCATGCAGAGAGCCCGGGCGAGGATGGAAAACAAGTCATCTCCCTTTGCACAGAGCTATTTGCACAGCTGGTCCCTCATCACTGAATGTACTTTCCGAGGCCATAACGCACTAGAGGTAACGAGCCAGCACCCCGTGAGATTGCCTCAGGGGACCCATCCAAGCAGGTTAACCTTGGGGCTAACGCAGCAAAGCTTTCCCGTGGTCTCAATTTTGGGGTGCCTTCAGATGCTGTTGGGTGACTTCCCAGCTCAGGATATACAGGCATTTGTGTGAAACCTACTGCAAACCACATCTCGAATCACTGCCTGCCCGCCCCAGGCAGCTCCCGACACAACCTCAAGCACTGCCAGGGCTCGACCAACGGTTGGCATCTTGCAGCGACCCCATGCTCAGGTTCAATCATGTGCATGTATCTAGATCACAAGAAGACCTTTTCCAGAGAAGACACGATGGGAGAGACACTACGTAACTGGGATAAACCACTCCAGACCAATCTTCTTAACAGGAACCTGCCTGCACGCCCTGGCACTCATTTCCAGTGTCATGTCCTTCACAGCACTGCTTCCCAGCTGGCTTTAGCCACTGGTTGGCAGTGCCTCAAAGTTTCATTGTTGGTTGTTTTTTTTTTTTTAAAAAAAATTAATTTAGATATTAATACAGGAAGTAGTTGCACAGCTGTAACAAACATCGTGGCAGTTCTCCAGGAGGGAGAGCCTTTGCTGCCAACATCTGGGGCAGCAGCTGTACAGAGCAGCTGGTGCACACCAGCTCCCAGCTGTCTATAGGGGAGCACAGCAGTGGGAGGAGAGGTCCACCAGCTTAGACCAGCTACCAGTGTGCCCAGTGCTACCAGCAGGAACCAGGCTGATGCCCTCTGCTGCAGCACCAAAAAAAAAAATATCCCAACAGAAGCAGCTTCTAGTTTGGTGGCAGAAAAGGGTGAGCAGCTCCTCCTTTGCTTCTCATAAGAACAGAAGGGATAAAGCTCAATTGCCAACATTTTGGGTATCAGCAGAGCAATCCAGAGAGCTCTGCAGTGTTCCTCAAGGCACGTCTGCAGCTGTGGATCATTCCTTGTGGACTGTGAATCCACAGGATACACCCAAGGGGCAACAGCCTTCCCTGGGGAAAAATCCCAAAGACAGCAGAGTCTGAGGTTTTGCTGAGATGGGTGGGAACCAGCACCCACCCAGCATGGACTGAATTTGGGCCCCAGGCTGCCTTCATGGCACGGATCACTCCTATGACTCACCCTGAGGAGATCCAGTGGGGACAGGAGGATCCGGGCAATATCCAATGCCACATTGCCATGACCCAGAATCAGCGCCGTCTCACAGCTCAGGTCAGGCTTCAGCTGTGGGGAAAGAAAGACCCGTGCGTGAGCGAATCCACCCGGCCTCCATGACGTTCAACCCCCTCGGACCTGCTCCTACCACCCCAATTCCCTTCTACCCCTCTTTTCCCCAAAAAGATGTGATGCAGGTGGGGAAACTCCACACCAGCCTCCTCCCCAAGCAGACACAGCAACACAGCCGCTCCAGGCACCCCAGCCGATCCCTCTCCCCCTCTTCCTGCAATGACATCTTTGGGAGCAGGAGCTGTTTTGGCCAAAAAACCTCCTCAGGTTAAAGCAGAGCATCATCCCCGAAAGGTTCCCATCTGGCCGGGCCAAAACGTGCTGCCAACCTACAGAGCCAGCTAATCCGCTCTCACTGATGTGCAAATTGTTCACATTTCTACCATCTAAGAAGGATTTAACGTGGTGCTTGCTAATCTTTTCCAATTGCGGGCCTTTCAGGACTTAATCTGGAGCTGAATGCCTGCGTTCAGATGCAGGACGGGGAGGAAGGGCAGGGAAACACACAGCTGTACTCACATCCCGGTTCTCCGGCAGCCCGTTGTACCAGCCCACAAATGCTCGGGCCGAATAAACGCCGGAGAGGTTCTCCCCTGGGATCCCCAGGACCCGGTTATCTTCAGCGCCATAACTCTGAGGAAGGAGCAGACACAGACAGAGATGTCACCGTGTGCAGGGTTTGAGACCAAAACACAAATCTTCCAGCTGCTGCCAGGGACTCCACAGCTCCCAACCCTTCCCAAGGGACAGCATACTCAACGGAGGGGCTACACCTCCCCTGGGCTCCAGAGCCAAACTTGACCTCCTTGGGCCAAGGCAGAGCATGACAAGCTGAGGACTGGACAGGAGGGACAAATCCGTGTCAGGCTGGAATAGGTATTGGCCATCACAGGGAAGAGGTTCCTCAACCGCTGCCCCTTGCAGCAGGGTTTCAGAGACCTGCATTTGATGCCACGCACTCGCATGCGCTCCCCGCGAGGCTCTGGACAACCCTCGTGGCATCTGAGCTGTCCCGAGGCTGAGGAGAGTTTACCATGATAATAAGGCACCCAGAAACACCTCACCCAAACCCTCTTCCTGAGATCCCAGTGGGGAATAACCCTGCAGACCTTCCCCACGACTTTGGGGCAGCTAAGGCAGCCCTGGCTCCGATGCACGGTACCCACCAGCACCACGGCGTGGTAAGCCTGCTGCAGCTCTGCCACCATGACGTCCCTCCCCACGGTGACATTTCCGTAGTAGGCGCAGCGTGCCGACCGCGCCGTCTGCGTGAAGGCATTGATCACGTTCTGCCGAGATCAAACAAACAGCGGGAAGTTACGTCCGAGCCACAGCCAGGGCCAAGGCCTGCTGCTGACAGGAGGTCCCTGTTCCTGTCCTCCCCAGCCTTGAGATGCTTCTCCCCCTCTCCGAATCAGTTATTCTGAGACTCTTATCTAACAACAGCCACATATAATTCACAGGGAGATAAGCACAGCTGTGACTTGGCACTCTTTACACCACCCTTTGAGGAAAGGAAAATCCATCTTTTGCACCCGCCTGGGGGGGACAGGACCCTTTCAATACCTTCAGCCCCTCCGAGTAAACCCCGCTGAAGGAGAAAACTCCTTCCCAAAGTTGAGGCTTGCGAGGGAGCCCCACCAAACAACCCCTTCTGTCGAGGGTGCTGCCTGCCAGCCCCACCTCTGCCAGCCTCTCATCTCAACCCTTCCTGAAACCCACTTCATCAAGAGAGGATGCAGGGCAGAACAGCACCGAAAGCCTTTTTTTCTGAGCTATCAGGGCTACAGAGTCCGGCTATTCCCCTGCAGCTCCAGCCGGACTCAGCCTTTTAACAGGACAGGTACCACCATACTGCAGATGCTGCCCCAAACCCACATCCATTATGTCCGTTCCTCATCTCTCAGCTCAAAGGGATCCGGGCATTTTGGTCTGACGATCTCCAGAGATTAGAGGAAACCACGGCAAGATATTGCTGTGTTTGGATCTCCTGTGTCCTACCACTCCAACCACCTCCACCTCAGCTCAGACACAGCAGATACCCCTGGGTACAACTCACGCCCACTGAGAGGCAAAGGAAAATGGCTGATTTCAAAGAGCTCCTTGGTTTAACTTCTCCTTGCCCGGGTGCACATCTACAGCCCAACTCCACCACCCCTAAAAGCAGATCTATATGTTCCCAGGCACCCAGAACAGGTACGGACTGAGCAGAGGCAAGATCCCGCCGGCATAGTTTCCTAGTACAAATAAACCCATCTGTGCCCCTTGCTCTTGCTTTAGGCCAGGCTGACCAGCACCAGGAGCAGCACTTCCCATCACAAGCCCCTGGTTTTGACCCCCTGTCCAGAGCCCTAATGCCAGACGTTCCATGTCACCTGGCCGTGGCCTTGATAAGTTTCAACACAGATGAGGAGGAGATTCGGACCTCTCCAGTGTGACAGCCCCACACCACAGCGAGCCTTGAGGCACCACGAAGGATGGCAACTGTCTCGCCTGCAACCACCACCATCATCGTGTTCAACCGCACGGGCGAGGGGAGGAAGCCAGCACTAACCTTCACTTCGGGGTGGTCTGGGGCCACCCCAAAACGGACGAGCCCGAAGGGAACAGGCAGCTTCTCATAGATGTCCACTCGGGCCCCGCCGTGGTGCTGCAGGAGAAGGAAGTCACGGTTAAGGGATGAGGGCAGAAAGGCCACATGAGCCCAGCAAGCTCAGGAGGGGCACTCATCGCTTGCCTGCTGCTGGGGGAACTACAGGGCAGGAGGGAGGGTTGCACCAAGATCCTTAAGTCAGAAACAACCTCTTCCAGACCCTTCCATACACAGGATGATCCTGTACCTGTTACTGCTGGCTCAGATCGCAAGTTGTAGCAGAGAACGTGACCCCAACCATCATCAAGTACATCTCATTGGGGGTCTCCATCCTCCTACCCATCCCACAGCCCCTCTTCCATGCTAAACTGGTGGCTATCCGGTACCTGGGGGGCTGACAAAAGAGGCCCCACACTGGCTGGGAAGCACCCAGCGCAGCACCCTGGGTGCTGGTGGACCCACCGGGCTGTCTGCCAGCCCCCGGCAGAGGTGCTCACGCTCTGAGATTCCCCTGAGCTGAGTCACCACAGGGTCGGAGCTTTAGACAGATGTTTTGCTGCGAGGCTTTTGTTATCGTGTATTTTGAGTCAGCCTCTTCCCAGAGATTAAGCAGCCCTGAAATTTGTCCCTGAGGCTTAGTAACAGCTATTTTCCAACACCGGAGACAACACAACACAGTTTAATGACGGGGTTAAGCCGCTGCATCTCTGGTCGGTGCCAGCAGCCCAGTTCTGTGCTCAGGTCTCATTTCCTGACAGAGACCTGAGCGCCCAAAGCACCAACCTTTACAGACACCCGATAAAAGATCACCCATGTGCCTTAATTCAGCTGGGGAAGGAAGAAGCAGGAGAGCAGGTTCTGCACGTTCCCTTTATCGCACGGTTAATGTCATCCCTGTTGGGTGACAACAGCTCCGAGCGAGACAGACCTCTCCTGCTGCTTATTTGAGTCTAGAAACATCACTTGGGCTGAACTCGCAGCAACCGGGCCAGGCCAGAGTCTGGCCTGGAGGGTCCAGGGGCAGGGCAGGGATGGGGGCAGTGGTGCCCACCCCAGGCAAAGGGGCCCAGGAGGGCTCTGTGGGGTCGGGGCTGCCCCAAGCAGCCCCCCAACAAGACAGACCTGGCTGGAGCAGGGCCGGGAGCCCACAAAACCACTCCCCAACCCCTTTAGAGCCAGGCAGCATGGAGACACCCTCCTCAGCCGGCAGGTCCCTGCCCTCACCCACGGCCAAATCCCACCCCGGTACCTTGAGGATGTGCTGAGCCGTGTAAAAGCCCGCGGGCCCGCTGCCCACCACGCAGACACGAGGAGCCGGGGCGGAGGAGGAGGACAGCCATCGCTTGAAACCTGGAGGTGCGAAGGACAGAGAGGATGTGATGCCACATGTGGTGCTGACTCCCAGGCCCGGCCAGAGCCCTTCCCTCCAGCCCAACACCCACCCAGAGGGGCTCGTCCCCCCGCGCCGGCCATGGCGCCCAGCCGGGTGGCGGC